TCAGGTTTGAGGTTTGGTGACATTTTAGTTTGACTGAGAGGATTTTATTTATTAACACTGATACTGACAAACACAATTTGCTCAGTAATTGAGGACTAAATTTAATAAACCATCTCATTGGTGGACGGAAGAACACACAGTCCTGGCCTGAAATGCTAGAATGAATTTAAAAAGGTGGAATTGGAGGAGAAAAAACCCCAAAATAAAGAGTCAAAAATTCAGTTTTAGTGTTTTTACATTGTCCTCTGTGTGTTTAAATCGCTCTCCATTTTATTTTCTTTATAAAAAATATCATTTGAGTCCCTTTATTGCTGTTTTTCTGTCATAATTACAGCTTTTCCACACTAAAAAGAATCTGTCTGCACTTCACCGGCTGCAAATCTTGCTTCATCACGGTCACAAGAACTCACATGATCCGGACTATGCTCGGAAATCAGCCTCCTCCACACCGTTTCTCAATTTTTCCTTCAGAATCACGCTTGTTTTAAGTCCAAGTGAAGCTCAGACGAGTCAAAAGGAGGAAGAAAAACCTGACATGAGCGTCTGTTATGATAAAATCTCAGGTCATGAGATCTGTGTTTGTTCAGCCAGTAACAGCGAAGATAAACTCGTCCGTCACGCTGTGACGCGACCGCAGAGTAATGAATTCTGTAAACAAGTTAAAGGCGTTCTGTCAACACAAGAAAATCTTATTTTTGTCTGTTTGTTCGTTCGGCTCCAGTTCCCAGTCACATGACTGCATAAACTTCACAGCGAGTTAAGAGGCCGATGGATCTCAGATCACAACTCTGAAGCAAAGCTGCATAAAAATGAACGTCACAAAGAGAAATATAAGCTCATAAAAAGTCCAAAATTATAACAGCACAACATAAATCTGTCATGTTTTCATGGTACTAATCATGATTTTTGAGGATTTAGAAACATTTAGAAGCACAAGACGTCCTGGCATGCAGAGAAATATTTCTGCACTATTTCCAGATCAGAAATCAAATTTAAGCCAATTAGCGGATGTTAACTCCTTTTGAACAGATGTTTTGATGCTGCTTGAATAAATCAATTTTTGGGCCGTTAAACACTGGATCAGTTGTGTCCAAAGTACCACAAGTGACCACATCATCAGAGGATCAATAACTGTCTTTGAGAGATTAAAAAACAAAACAGAAAGAGCACAAGACTCCCATCAGCATAAATCAAGTCTCTGAAGTGCGTCTCAGGAGAGGAAACAAGGTCAAACTCTCACTCAAGAGCTGCAACTAATGACTATTTTCATAGTTAATTAATCCTTTGACTATTTTCTGGATTAATCAATTAGTTGGTTGGTCTATAAAATGTCAGAAAATGGTGAAAAAAGTTGTCTACAACCCAAAAGATGTTCAGTTTACTGTCATAGAAGAGGAAAGAAACCAGAAAATAGTCACATTTAAGAAGCTGCAATCAGAGAAAATACACTTTTTTCTTGAAAAAATAACAAAAAAATCCAAAAAGCTAACAATTAATTGAACAGTTTACAACCACTCAGCTCTATTTCCCAGTAGATGGTGGGGAAAAAAGCTCTATTTGTGGCAATAACAGAATCATGTATGCAAGGAGAGCAACATAATATTAACCTCCAGCAAATAGACTCCACCCTGACCAAGAAGAAACAGCACCCCACTTTTCATAGACGTGCCCCTCTCTTTGAATTTTGCATCTCTGTGCAGAACGATTCACATAACAGCAGGACAATGAGCTCAAACAGCCTCACAGTCAGCCTCTTTCCTCCACAGTTGTCTGACCTCAACCTCACTTAACATCTACAGAGGAACCGAAACATTCCCGACGTGACAAGAGGCGCTCTGGAACATTGTCACGACACGCTGGGAAAGCATGACTTATTAGATTTGTGCAAATTTGCAAAATCCATGCAGCTGCTAAACAAATATCGGATGTATCCTGAATTCAGGGACATTTTCATTTCTGGCTTATTTCTGGCTAATTATGACGCGTAATGAAATTTTTAAAAAATGCAAAACAGAATTTCCTCCAGTCACGCTCTCAGATTTTTTAACTGTTTTAACATGGCCACTTTGTTTGCAAGGTAGGAAACATTTAGAGGCTAAAACGGTCCACCAGAGTAATGATAAGAAGAAAAGTCAACATAATTCTAAATTATATTAGTGTAGCAGGACTACATTTTATAGTAAGGGCCAATAAAAGATGAGTATTGTTCCAAAAATGTTGGATAATTTGTGCTTACATGGACTGTGATTTGTAAAAGAAGAGCTGAACTGGATGTTTATAGTAACAGAACCAGTTTGTGACGGTCCAAAACGGTCGCTCGGTTATAAAAGGAGGCTGATAAAATGTGAGCTTTCAGTCTTACCAGTCCGAACCAGTAGTTCCAGCCTGGAGGAACGTGCTCCACCCCACCGGCCTCAGCGTGTCCATACTGGAAAACACAAACAGGCAGACACAAGACGTTTAATTACATATTTATATGGTATTACTAGTAGAACACACGATCAGATTAAACAGTTTTGATCCAGAGGAGGGAAGACAAGTAGAAATTGTACAAGAAAATATAAATTTAGAGAATATATCTGGTGCAAAAAGTGAATGTTCATGACGGTAAATTCAACAAGACAAACTAAGATTCTGTTCTACTTATTATAAAATGACAAAAAAAAGAAATAAATAGCGCTTTCGATTTTGCTTTGGCTCTTTGACAGAGAGGAAAAACCCTGAATGAACTAAAAAATTGAAGTCACACACAAGCATGTGTGCAAAAACAGAAATTTTACATAAAAATACATATTTTCGTATAATTTGCAGCTTCCCCGACAACATTTTGGAGTATATTTTTTACTTTTACCACATTTTACTTAGGAATAAAATATCATTCCTGAAAATAAAATAAGTAAAACTGCACAAGTAAGAATGACTAAAATTCATAAAGATTTTTTAAAATGGTTTGAGTGCACTTTGTTTAGAAAAATGGGTTCGAAAAATCTGGTGTAAAGTGAACAAAAATACATTATTTGCTTCTTGGTTATATAAAAAAAACAGTTTAAACAGGATCAATAATCATTTCACCTACTGACATGTTAAGACAAAAGACTGTATTTATAACAGAATGATTCTACTTTAATTTAAATGTACTTTGCAGGACCAAAATTAGAAATGATCTTGTATATTTCTATGATCTATATTGATTAATTCATCCTACTAATTGTATTCAAGGTGGTATTTAATCACAGCATGATGTACTGAAGAACATTTCTGTATAATTCTGAATAGAAAGTTTAAAAAAATGAGTCAACACAAGCAGATGTTGCTTCATTTTTAGGCATCTGAAGCCAAAAGTGTCGAAAAAAAAATAACCTGCAAAGAAAAAAGACGTGAGGAGTGAAAGTGAGGAATGAGGAAGCTGGTCTGAGGGGACTTTCACGAATTTCGGATGAAATGAGGCTTTAAAAATACAAACAAAACAAACAGGACGTCCTGGTTCCTCATTTGTTCGTCTGTTCATCACAAGGAGATTGAACCCGACACTTTATCGTGACCTTAAACAGCCTGACCGCAAACCTTATGACTGCTTTCACTGTTAATCGGCTCAAATGACCGAAAATTAGAAAAATGCTGCACAGAGCATCACTGTTGGAGCATCTTTTCTGAAACCTTTATCTGTTACGATGATTAACTATAAGATATAACCGGATTTCCAAAAGATAGAAAGTCAAAGATGACAGATTTCCTTTTTCATCTCTGTTTTGCAGTTTAAAAATAATAAAGAAAATGAAACGGCACAAACCAAGAGTGCTTGCAGATGTTCTTTGTAGCAGCAAAGAGTCTTTCTGTTCTTGTTTTTGGGGGATTTTCACTATTCTTCCTCTTGCATGAACTGCTCTTCTGAGGTTTCTCCACATATTTTCGATGTGTAGGTCGAAATCTTCAGGATTTTGAAGCACCTGTAGGATCATTATCCTGTTGTAGAAGCCATCTTTTTTTTGTTTTTAGGTTTTAAACAGACGGTGTGATAGTGGTTCTACTACTTGCCACTATTTATTTGAATCCATTCTTCCATCTAGGTTGTAAATAAACAAGAACAAAGCATAATCCCACAGTTTGACAGCTTTTTTTCAAGAAATTCTACATCTTTTTTTTCCCAAACTGTGCTCAGTGCAGCCAGAAACAACCGTACTGATATATATTTCTGGTTTGTTTTTATTTTCTACCAATGTTCCCAAATTGTCAGCACGGTCCCCTTCGTTGCTGTGACACAGGGAATGTCCCCACTGTGGGATTACTGCAAAATGATCTCATCTTAGCTTTGAAAAATCTGTACAGCAGCGTGATGTCGGCAAAGCAGTTTTGCAGCCCGACCGAACCAGGACGACAATCGTGGAATTTTTGCTCACTGTAAGTTTGTTTCCTGGATACTGCAGACTACATTCTGGCCAGATCGGTACGTGCTGCTGGTGCAATAGGTGGTTTTAAAGACAGCCAGAGTATTTATTAAGCCTTAAAATTTGCATTTCCTGGATTTTTCCAACAATAACTGTGAAAAAGCCACCATCCTAACAGACTAATTAAGGTCTCAGATCTTCGTTAAAGTTATCTGAGAGCTCAGATCTTTAAAAAACTTTTGCATGGTGCTCTGGTCCTTTTTTTTCAAAACTGTACAAACACAGTCGTTCTCAAGACATTAAAAAGAATGTTTCACCTTTAACTTCACGCATTTTGAAGATCAGTTCGCCTTCTACTCACTGAACAGGAATTTTTGATGTGTAGTTTAAAGAGCACAAGCTGACAACTATAAATACAAAGAAAAATCATAAAACCTTCCTGCCAAAAAATGAACTTCCAAGCAGCTTCATGAGTAACAGGAAGCTAATCAACTTTGATGTTCAAGTAGCAAATATAAACACGACTGAAGCTTTACGGGAAAAGATGTCGACTCCCTTCATTCCTCAGATAACAGCGGAGAACTCCCCTCTTGAACTCAGCAAAGCAGCTTTGTTCTGAAGCCAAACGTCTTGTTCAGATTTCGGTACTTTGTTCCTGCCCTCACCTGGTTCAGGTATTTCCCGGCGAAGAAGGTGTTGTAGCCGGCGTAGGTCCTCAGCAGGGCGGGGAAAGTTTGGGCCTCCTCGCTCTTCTGCCAGGCTCTGCTGCTGCAGTTCCCCTCCAAGGTGTTGTTGATGACGTGGTGGTTGTGGGGGTACTTTCCCGTCAGGATGCTGGCTCGACTGGGGCAGCACAGCGGGCTGGCAACGAACTGAGGGAGGGCGGAGGAGAGGAATGACCGAGCAGAACACGAGGCAGACACAAAATGGTGCCTTAAGAGGCCCAGTTACAGCCTTCAGATGATACTTACTGCGTTGGTGAATGATATTCCTGCATCGCCAATTAGCTTCTTCGTCTTGCTCAGTGGATTCTGAAAGACAAATGAATATGTTGTTTTTTTTAATGTATTGGCGTCAGTAAGCTCAGTTTTTGTTTCACAGTCGTCAGCAATAAAGCATGCAGTAATGAAGCTGTATAACGTTTTCCAGCCTCCATGAGAACACCTGCTGCATCAGAACCTATTATAGTAATGATAATGGGGCCTCGAACACAGCACAGATTACATGCTTCTGGAAAACGATTATCAATGATTGTTTCACTTTGTAATGGAGTTTTGAAGACGCATCATTTTGTTTTGCACTTTATTTAACTTCTTAACAACCACCAAGCTCATTTTGACGCATTTTATCAACCGCTAAGCTCGCATATATTGAAACTAGAAGACGTTACCTTTCAAATAAAGTCTCACGCATGCATTTTAGCCTCAAGGGTCCTCTTTTATCGGCTTTTCTCTCTTTAAATACAGTAAAATAGTGTGATTTAATGCTCACACAGTATAAATGAAGTGCTGTTTGTAAGAAGACACTAATTCTTTTGGCTAAAAACAGCTTCGGCCTGTTTCTTCACCGTGTAAATTATGACGTTTTTACTGGATATTATCTGTAATTTAACCAATCCGGAAAACTATGCAAAATTAACAGTTAAAAAAGACTTGCTGTTTTTCAATTCTTAGTTTACTGGGTTTTTATTTTAAATAACAGCACTTATCTGTAAATTTATTATTTTTTTTGGCTGATTGAAGTACATAGAAAAAAGTAGTTTAACACTACGGTCAAACGTTGTAAAAGAACAAACTATCATTTGTAAAAATACTGACGTTATTAACAGTTTGGGCTTGTTTTCGTACAGCTAACTTATAAATGAATCCTTTCTTTCTCTAATTTTACTGGACATTATCAGTAATTTAACAGGCACCCATTGTTCAATCACTGGTACAAGTTGTTTTCCTTTTAAACAACAGCAAATATCTGTAGAATAATTATTGTTTTTAGCTGATTTATATACACACACAAAAAATGTAATTTTAAAGTCCAATGCTGCAAAAGTAGGAATTAAAAATTGTAAATAAAATACAGATTAGTTTATGTCAGCTGTGTTTAAAGTTGTGGCTTGTGTTTTTTTCAGGTTCACATGTAAACTGGTTATTATCAGTATTTTAGCAAAGCAGGGACAAAAACGTATTAAATATCAGTGAGTCTTTTACAGTGTACCCTTAAATTAAAGCTGTTGGTCTGCACATATTCAATATATACCTTAACCTTTAACATATTCTAATAAACAGTTGACACATCGCTGTCAGTGTTCAGATAAGTCTGGACCTGCTGTTTGTGGAGCAGGCCTGAAAATTAGCAGAATCCTCAATGAGGTTCTGAATGTGTTTTAGCAGAGGAAGGTTTTTATTTCCAAGGAAAGTGGGTGTGACCGGCTGCTGACTCCGTGAGATGCTACATGATGTGTCCAACCAGGAATGTGACCTGTCAGCTTTATCCCACTGCACTAAATGTCAACTTAAAAACCAAATAATCACATATTTTCTCAGAATTTGGCTCCAATTTAGCTTTTAAAAAAACTACGTCAGGACCCTCGAATAGGCTGCTAACCACTGAGTAAAGTCGGTAGAGCAATACAATTCACTAACCAGACCCCCGATAGCGACGTCCAGGTCGTCGGTGAGAATGAGGACGATGTTCGGTCTCCGGTTGGATCTGGCGGACGCGCCGCCGCTCAGGTGGCTCCACAAGGTGACGCAGATTAGGAGACGGTTTAATAACGTCGAGCGGCAGCAGCGATTTGAGGCCATGTTTACGAAATTCAGCTGTAAACTGCTAAAACTGTCCGTGTGTGGCCGCAGTTCTGCGCCTCGGAACAGCGTGAAATGCGGTCACCGAGTCCTCCGTGCGGGAAAATAAAGGCACAGGCTCGGCCCTGTTTCTGTTTGAGACAGCACTTCCTTGTTTGGTGGTCATGTGACCCTCCGGAAGTCAGCTGACCTGGAGACGCGCAGACCACACGGGAGTGATGTGAAGAAATAAGTCATTGTAAAAGATTATTTTTTAAATGTATATATTTTTTTAATTTAATAAGATTTTAGCCATTGGATATTTTACTTATTTATTTTTTCAAATTTTATTGGTCAGGTAAATTTGGATTACACATATAATACGGTTAGGACTTAAACTTAATATTCACCATAATATTTAAATTAGTCACTCAAAATAACATTTTATAGCCTAAATATTTAGGTTAGTCAGATACATTTGTGTTATATATAATATTGTAGGATCATAACATTATTGTTTGAATTAGTCATATTATAGGGTTAACCTTAATGTTAATATTTAACTTAATATTCAAGTTAATCATGTAAATTTGTATTACATATAACACTGTAGAGTCCTACCCGTGATGTTTATCATAATATTCAAATTAGTTTGGGTATTTTAGTATTGTGAGTTTTGGACCTCGATATTTATATTAGTTGGGTAAATTTGTCCTACATATAATATTGCAGGATTTTAGTCTTGATATTTATATTAATCAGGTAAATTTGTATTTATAACTTGTAATAACTTGTAATAACTTGTATATTCTAAATCCTAACCTTTATCTTAATGTATAAATTAGTCAAGTTAATCCTTATTGTATATAATATTGTAAGGTATTAACTTTAAAATTTAATTTAGTAAGTTAAATTTCTATAATAAATTTTATTGTAGGTTTTTAACTTTAATATTCAAACTTGTTATGAAAATTAAAGTAACGTCAGTCTTATTTCTCTGTTGTAAAACAGTTTGGTGTGTTCTTTAAACTGTGTATTGTAAATAACAGTGGCTTGATTTGAGTTATTTACTTCACTGATACATTTAATTGTCCTATCAGTTTTTAAAAGAAAAATAAGAGCAGTCCTACCACAACTTAGCATTTTAAAGCATTAGACAGCTTTAAAATCAAAATATAGAATTAGGATTGAAAAAACACACACTAAATAATCAAATGAATCCCCTCAGAAGCAAAGGTACACTCTATATTTTTAATGAAATTAATAAATATACATAAAGTGAAAATACCAGCCACTATAGCTATTTTTTTTTTAATTAGCTTATATAATGTTATCTAGGGGAGAGAAATGTGTCATAATTTATGATTATAATACATTATTAATAGGCTATTCCTCAGAGTTTTTAAATAACTTTAAATAATTTAACAAACATGAAACATTTTTATCTACTATTCTCTGTTAACTGCTTAATTACATGCACGTTAACATATAAGACAGTTTTATATTTACACACTTCTTTAAGTACAAAGTTTTTCCTTTGCACGCTGATCAATATACTTACACTTATCATTTGGGTATTTTTTTTAACTCTCAATCTGAGGGGAAAATAAAGCACAGGTTCGACTGTGTTTCTGTTTGAGACAACACTTCCCTGTTTGATGCCATGTGATGCTTCGTCCTGAAGCTTGTCAGCTGATCTGAAGACATGAAGACCACCACATGAGTGATGTGAAGAAATCACACTGTCCCATTTTACCAGTGTGTACCAGTAATTGTCTTGTTGAAACAGGAACAAGACCTTCCGATTGTTGTTTTTAGGTTTTCCTGATGAATGTGGAGGTAATCGTCCTCCTTCATTATTCCATTTACCACAGCATAATAATGCCACCTGCATGCTTGATGGTCGGTTTGGTGTTCTTGGGGTGAAAGGCCTCACCTTCTCTCCTCCAAACATATTTTTGCTCATTGTGGCCAAATAGCTCATTTTTTGTTTCCATCTGACCACAGAACTTTCCCCTAGAAGGCCTTTTCTTTGTCCATGTGATCAGCAGCAACCTTCAGTGGAGCTTTAAGGTTCTGCTTCTAGAGGAATAACTTCCCTCTTCATGGCAGCCTCTCAGCTCATGTTGACGTACAACACAGTGGACACTGACAGCTGTGTTGTAGCAGCTTCTAATTCATTGCAGACCTGTTTTTTGGTGATTCTTGGTTGACTCTTGACCATCCTGACCAATCGTCTCTCAGCAGTAGGTGATAGTTTGTGGTTTTTTTCCTGATCGTGGCAGGGACACAACTGTATTATGCCTTTTATACTTACAAACTATTGTTTGCACAGATTATTTTGAGATCTGGAGCTGATTTCAGTCATTGGTGACTCAAAACTGCATTGATATGCTTGGTCTTTACAAGTGTGCGCAGACTTGTGAATTTTGTCACGTTGAATTTGACCTTCCTCCTCAAATCAACCAGCATATACGCCTGTACCTGTTAAAGATATAAACGGCAGTGGCCACCAAAGCTAAAACACTCTCTGAACTGAATAAACATACAACACACAAATAGAAGAATAAATAGCGTATTTCCATCTCTACCAGCCAACCTGTTGCCACATCTGGTTATTTACTTAAATGAATAAAGAGGCTCTATATGTAGTTATGTGGAAGCATCCATTCACATTTCTTTTTTGTTTTTTTTGACAAAGATGCATGTGTTTTGATCATTCCATCACTGAAAATTAGGAACTGCAGGAGTCATTGGTAATTCAGAACTGCATTGGTATGCATGATCTTTACAAGTGTATGTAAACTTTGACTTATGTTTGAAGTTTGGCCTTCCTTCTCAATGCAGCTAGCAAATACACCTGTTAAAGATATAAACTTGTTTTCTGTTTTTTGTTTGTTTTATGGCACTTATCCATGTTGTTTTCTCCTGACTAGATCCTTGCTTGTCTTGTGTCTACGGTCAGATGTATGACGTTTTGGATTAAAAGCGTCTGCTAAATTAAATTGTAGAATTGTAGAATAAACCGCAACGGCCTCCAAAACTAAAATACACTTTGAACAAGATAAATATACAACACAGGTGCTAAAAAACAACAAAAAATAAACAAAACAAACACGATTTTTTCAGCGATGTTTGTCATTTCCACGTTGTGTTCACTGTTGTCCACATTGAAATGAGTTCAGGAGTAAGTACAGCGTGGCAGACTGCTCCCTGTAGCTGGCAGCTGATTGGTCCAGACACTTTGGGCTCCTCTCTGATTGGTCCGTCCCGCGGCTCGAGGCACCTGCCGCACCTGTCGCGCGCCTTGAACAAAGTTTGGCAGAGAAGTTGAGCGGAGTGGACCGGTCCATTGTTCAGTCCTGGAGAGGGGGGAGCAGGGAGTTCCAGTCCGGAACATTCAGGAAGGAGAGTGGAAGCCGCCGAACGGGTCTCCACCTTTGCGAGGTGAGGAATGGAGCGCTCCAGGAACTCTGTCCTCCTCCGAACGCTCAAAAAAAACTTTTTAACGGCAGCGCTTTGGTCCAGAAAAATGGCAACCAGCGTTTAGAAACAGCCAGAGGACCTCAAAGTTAATTAAACTCGTCTACCGCTAATGACAACAATGGCGACGGAGCTGAAATTGAACGGGAGTGAACTTCTGGAAGTTGACATATGCGACGGCGGGGTGGGCTCCGAGGACGAGAGCGGCGTTTACGTGAACTCCGCCGCCTCCCTCCAGGATGACTTCTCCGGCTTCCAGCAGTGGACGAGCCCTGCCGAGTCACCGAGTGACACATCATCATCTCCGGGACGACAGGAGGCTCCCGGCGGGCACGGAGCTCCGCCTGGCACCGCTGCTGCCACCCAAAGGACCGAGGCGGCCGCTGACAGCGACTCTGAGTCCCTGGGAGACGGGCTGAGGGCTCCGAGGACCTCCATCGTGGACTGTCTGCTGGTGGAGCTCTACGAGACGTACAGCGGAGGCAGCAGGAGGCATGCGGACAGCTGGGACAGCTCCACGGAGGCATCCGGCTCTGATGCCTTCCTGGGCCGCAGCAACTCCGGGTCCAGCTTCCTCCAGGAGCTCCAGGAGAAGCACACCAGGAGGCACCAGATGAACTACCTGGCCCAGAAAGGTGAGGGCTGGTTGGATGTGTGTGTGCAGGAGTGATGGCAGATCCTGCACAGGGACACCAAGCTTCACTCAAATCCAAAATCTGTCAACAAACCACTTCAATTAATTGTCATTAATTAGCTGTAAAGGATGCATTTAAAGTGGGGCTCTTTATTTGTTCATCCATAAATCAAGCAGCTGTTTTATCATCAGTCTGAAGACTTAAATTGGATATTAGTTCAGATTTTATCCTCTTATTTGCGTTATTTTCAAGCTATTTTGGTGCAAAATGATTACAAAATGTGAAATGCGGTGCCCTCTGCAAAGCAAGGTCATCCCACTGTATTCCTGTTCATGTTCCACATTAACATCACATCGAGTGCAGGTTGGCCAGATCGCTGCTTCTCAGAATTAGTCTAATTTATGATGATTTATGGCTACAATCGTGCATAAAAGTGTGCCTCGGAAATACTTGCAAGCATAAACTGTGTTGAATGCTGATTTAGAGCAACAACTCTTTAGATAGTCCAGGAAAAAAGATGCAGATGTTGATAAAGGGAGAACCCAAAAAGTTCCATAACCCCAAATCTGAAGGTTAGATCTGATAACTGTGTAGCTGGCAAGAAAACTGGAAATACAATTCATGGCCCAGTGATAGTTTATCTAACGGCAGCAACTTGCAGTAAAGCAATCAAGTGTGTTTCCATCTGTACCAGCCTACCTGTTGCCACATTTTGCTTAAATGAGTAGAGACGCTCAATGTGTAGTAATGTGGAAACATCCAGTCACAAAAACAAGCATCCTGCTGTGAGACTGTGAAACAGAAACAAGTCTGTAATGAAACACTTGATGTAACAAAAAAAATATTTAGCTTTAATGTACAGCCTTATATGAACAGTAGAATAACGTCCAATATCCAGGAATCTTGATATTGTTATGCCGCTTTTGATCAACAACTAGTATATCACACTATTTTCAAGTACCTTTAATGCATGATCAGAATGACAGATAAATAGATCCACAGGTGTTTTTTATTTATTTTTAAATATTGTTCTTATTGTTGTAAAATGAAACAAGCAAATAAAAAAATGTTTGATCCAGGGCTACTCTTATAACATGGCCTAACAATGTCACTGGGTCATGCTGATTATATAGCCGATTTGTTTTTGTCTAACTGATTATTTTCTTTGATTACCCAATCTGCTTTAAGTGACAACAGATAAACCTATAAATACGTTTTTTATCTGGCATTTTTAGGCGGAGGATAGATTACACTCTATTTGAATTTCCCAGAAAGATGGGATTTTTGTCTCACTAATACAGCAGAAATCGGAACCACAACATGCATCACAAACACTTACAAGATCTAAAATGCTGCTGGATTGCTGCTTTTTAACTACAGGTATTCACAGGTGACTTCTTTGTGGACTCAGTCTCTGCACATGAAGTTAAATGCAAACAGATCAACTTTGTACTTTTAACTGATTAAATGTCATCTTGATGTATCACATTTGTGTTAAATATGTTAAAAAGCTGCACGTCATGTATGGCTGAATGATATGCAAATAACTAAATAAGTAAATTTTTAAAAATCACATTGCAATTATTTTGACACATATTCTGAATGCAACATGAGTTTTAGTGGGAATAGTTATTTTGGGATTTGTTTTCCACTAAAAAGAATATAAAAAAGTACCAAACAAGTATGTTTCCCTCATACATCTCTGTAGCAACACAGTGCTTCATTTATAATGTAGTGACACTTTTTGTCTTGATCCAAAAACTGCAGATTGTACAATCTGGGTATTGCACTCGGCCATATTGCATGTCACAGTTAGCTGTTCAGGCCTCATATCAAGGCTTGACAGAGTTGAAAAATACCTCAAAGAGATGCATGCTGGATAAACATGACCAGAGAAATCAGAAAACAGAAAACCGTGAAGATGGAAGAGAGAGACTTTGTGGAATACAGAAATCTTGAAAACTATCAGTGCAGTTCCTTGTGTAGCGGCTGAAATAGTCACGGACATTGTTGATTACTGATATCAGGATACAAATGCACACATGTAAACTGTAGTTGAAGTATTAAAGAGCCACCAACTGACCTAACATCCTCTCCAAATAGAAAATATGTGACAGTATTTACACTCAGGTATTTGCAGGTATGTCTATTTATTGTCAAGTTAATGTATACTGATGTTATGTATACTGATACACAAATGTGCCCACAAGACCCCACAATATTATATATAATACAAATTTACCTGACTAAGTTAAATATTAAAGTTAAGAACCTATAATATTCTTCATTACATAAATTTACCTGACAAATTTAAACATTAAAGTAAATATTAATGTTAAGATCCCACAATATTATATAATAAACACCTGACTTACTTAGATATTAATGTCAAGAACCTACAGTACTAAGTACTAACTATTTACATATTAAGGTAAATATTAAGGTTATGACCCTACAATACTAATTACTGCTTGATGTATAAGATAACATTAAGCACCAGGAACTGCCATGACACTAAACACTGAGTCAGTGACATCGATGGAGTCCTAACTGTGTTTACCTGCTCTGCATAATAAGGTCAGGTCAGGGGATGTTTACATCTCAAGATAACACAGGTAATTATTTAATTATGAGTAGCCCCGTGGTGGCCCTGATTGGGGCTCATAAATTATCCATGTTTTAAATTACAACTACGCATGAGGCAGCTGAATGATAATCTTTAAGTCAGAGAGCAGGAGACGGAGGGAGACGTTTGATAATCTGAGACTTTTGAACTTTGAAAATGGCCTTTTGCACAAGCTTGATTTGCTTGTTTGACTGCTCAGACGTTTCATCATTCCCCCGCTGTGAGTTTCTAAGGAGAGGTATGTGTCTAAGCCAGAGGTTTATCTTGATGTGTCCCTGGTCTGTCTGCAAGGAGGCAGCGTAATCAGATGTTGGAAAAACAGACATGCTGGCGTTTTTCACACACTTGTACATACACAAACACGCTGAGACGCAGAGGAGAATCGGCGTGTTGACAGATGATTTACGACTCCTCGGGGCGTCCCGCTGTGTTGCCTCAGAGTCTTGAACGGCATGTTGCTGCCATTGTTTCCTCTGTTGGAGTGGAGTCCTACGGTAAACACTGGCAGGCCGGAGAGCTCAGTGTTTGCCCTCTACACTGTTAAACAATGCAGAGGGCTGCCACTCGGGAAGAGGAAACGCTCTGATAATGAGTCAAAGAACCGCCAAAACATGAGACTGCTGTCTGTTTCTAAAGTGTCTGGTGACGGATTAAACCTTCGGAAGTATTTATTGATCAGCAGCGGTGTGGTTTATTCAGTAAGCTCATCAAGTCAGCTCTCAACCTCATAAAATGCCTCCAAGGACTTCTTTTCATGATTAGTTCACCTGCATTGACGCACTTTATGACTAAATTCACATCAATTCTTCTCTGTTTAATTGCTCTCAAAGTGTTTATTGCAGCAAGATTTTTTTAATTCATTTTTTTGTTAGCACATTTAGAACAGCAGGCACTTCTTTCCACAGTTCTTTCCAGTAAGAAAAGGATTATAATTGGTGTTAGAAATTCACCTAACAAGTTTAGATATCAAGGCTTCAGACATACAGTGTTATTCATGATGTGATTTTACCCAACTAGTTTACATATTAGAGACGAAAATGCCACAAAAATGAATAAAATACAACTTTACCTGATTATAAAGCATAATAAAGCTGATATTTCCAGATTTCAACAATCTTCCCGACACAATTTTGAAAATATACCTCTACAACCAGCATTTCAGGGTGAGATACATGTACAAACATAACAACTTTCTAATGCAAAATATATATTTTTTTCTTTTTATAAAGGTGATGATAAAAAAAATCTGCAAGTATTGTTCTATGAAATGATGGAAGATCTGGAAGCTAGCTGAGACTGTTGTAAAAAAAGAAAAAAAAAAGGTAGTGCAGTTGCCCTGAAAATAGCTTGTATATAATACATTATGGGGCTAGAAGGTGGAGCGGTGGTTAGCATCGTTGCCTCGCAGCAAGAAGGTCACCGGTTCGCGTCCCGGTGAGGACACCCAGGATCTTTCTGCGTGGAGTCTCCATGTTCTCCCCGTGCAGCGTGGGTTCTCTCCAGGTTCTCCGGCTTCCTCCCACAAGTCCAAAAACATGCTGAGGTTAATTAGTGATTCTAAATTGTCCGTAGGTGTGAATGTGAGTGTGCTTGGTTGTCTGTCTGTAAGTGTAGCCCTGTGATAGACTGGTGACCTGTCCAGGGTGTCCCCTGCCTTCACCCTGAGTCAGCTGGGATAGACTCCAGCCCCCCACGACCTTAGTGAGGATAAGCGGTGTATAGATGATGGATGGATGGACAATAAAGTAAAATATAAAACAGCAGCAAATAGTCACTATAGGGAAAACATTTGGTATCTTAGCTTGAAGATGGACTAATTCTAAGGGCTGTTTATTTTCTATAAGAGGTGGTAATAATGGGTGAAACAAAGCGATTTGTTTACTTGTGGTGGAAAACTGTCTTTATTATTGCTGTTAGCAGTGTTAATGATTCCTCAGTGTTAATACTCTTCTGCTTGAAAATTTGACTCATTTGTTTAACAGTAAGTTTGCTCTCTAAAATTCACTTGATCATAGTTTAATCCACAGCATTGGGCTCTTTTTATTTTATTTAGCTGCTCAAATGGGAATTATTGTGTTTCTCTTAATAATAACGTAAGGCCTTGCTCTGACTATGGAAGGTGCCCTGAGATGACTTACCTTATTATTTAGTGCCATATAAATACAAATTTAATTGAACTTTATCCACAAAAACCAACAACACAATGATGACAACTGTCCTGTGGATCTCTGTGGGTCTCAGATCTGTGTTACCTTCAGTTAAAATCAGATTTTAAAGGTTGTGTCTCCATAAATGGGAGCAGAGTGTGTGTGTTTTGTGTGTAGCGGGTGTTCTGGTTTTTATTTCCTCTTCGCCTGCAGCTTGGAAAACAAACTAATGAGTGTGATTTTCTGATCTATTAGCGGAGGGCAGACGCCACATGAGAGCAACCGTTTGTTTGCTGTATTTTGCACCAACCTGAGTAAAGACACTGGTGTTATGATTCTGAAGCAAATGTGGAAAACAGAAAAATACAGAAAGATGGATCAGGGCTCAGCTACTCATCGAAATATTATCGAAATTGCAATATGGATCACTGGCAGTAGTTGACATTTCTGTCTGTATTTATGTTTTTTTCAGCCCCGGAGGAGCTGTGTTCAATCATCCAGGAGGTGAAATATCGCTCCGGCCTGCAGTCAGCCAAACTCATCCGCCAGCTGAAGAGACGAGACCACCTTTGCCACAAACTGCAGAAGAACTACGACATTATCACAGCGTGTCTTCAGGCCGTCTCACAAAAACGACGTAAGACTGTAAACACAAAATGCCTCACAGATTCACCACAAATTAGCAAAAGGCAACACGCTAAAAGATTAAACAGTGGCTGTTTGAGTTCCAAAACATCTGGCAGCAAGAGAGCTAAATACAGGAGTGTAACATTCAAAAACTGTACCAAAAAAACAAAAAACCCCCAGCAAAAATAATGGCAAATATCTTTAAAATTATGTTGGTTTTTTTTAGCCAGTTTAAATAAAGTATTTTATGATCCTATCTGTGGAAAAAAAAAAAAAAAAAAGATTTTTTTATTTGGACATTACAGGCTTTGGCGTGTTTTCTGTAACTGTCTGCAAATTATTATTTAAAATTTCTTATATTGATATCATCTGTAATTTAATAAAACGGCAAACATCTGTTAAATAACTGTTAAAAAAAACATATTCAGTGTTTTTCAATCCTTAGTATACCTTTCAAATAACAGCAAATATCTGTGAAATAATAAAATATTTTGATGATTTAAACACAGTAAGTCTTTTTGTGATTTAAATACAGTAAAAAAATAGTGTAATTTTAGGGTGAAATGCAAGAAAACAAATGACATTATATAGTGATGTATAATTTAAAAATCCAGACTTGATGTGGACATTATTAATAGTTTTGACTCATTTTGTAAGATTAACATGTAAATTCCTGCTATTTTTCTGTGATTTTATGAATTATTATCTATAATTTAACAGATTAGACAACATCTGTAAAATATGAAGAAATAGTTTTTAAAAAATATTACAATTAAAAGCTATTTTCATCTAAACTTTAACAGTGTATGCCGTTCTGGTAGCATAGAACACTTACCAGTGAAATGTTATTGTGGAATTCTTTAACAACAACCAGTTAGAAAAACATTTCTCTCTTAAATGTTGTGATTTTCTACAACTCTGCTCGTCAAACCGTCCCAGGCTCGATGCACATTTCTCTTGGGGTGAACGTATTTGCACTTTGAAGGCTGCGCGTCACACAGAAGCTCGTCCTTGCAGTCGTATCTCATGTAGTATGAAAATGACTGTCCCACATTTACATAATAGACTGAGGCCCAGAGCTCATGGCTACTGGGAAAACGCTCATTTTCATATTCCCTCTTCAATTTCAAAACTGCCCCTCAAACAGTTGAGCTGAACGTCCTGTTACATAAGAGACCTTCGTAATGACACGACTGACCAGTTGTTCTTTTTCCAGCCAACAGATTACGGATTAAACATCATCTAAGAATAATAGGAACATGAAATTTAATATGCCGACTATACTAATCAGAAATTTAGCTGGAGTTTGGACAAAATAAGAGGCTACATCAATCTGTATTTAACTTTATCTTGATTTTTAATTGTTATTGAACTCTTTCTAGAGTCGGAGTGAAATCTAGGCTGTTTTTTTTTTTCCCTTTTCTGTAAAGATGCATCATGTTTGCTCACAAGGTGGTAAAAGTGAAAACCAGTACGTTTGTTTTTGAGCGCTGCTGCTCTGTTATGAGGTATTTACACAGTAGTTTATGGCCAGTCTGCGCCAGTGTTTCCACAAATAGAGCTGCCAGTTACTCAGCAGAGAATAATAACACAGCGGTGTGGAGCCAAAATGGTAACTACAGTGATTTCACAGGATCCATTTAGTCAAAGCAGCTGCTGCACATCAACAGGTCTCCGCAGCTGAAAGATGCAGATGATAGAAAACACATTAGGGTTATTAGCGATGTCGCCGAGAAGAAGCATCCGAGGAGACGAGGTCGTTCATCACGAAGCATCGCCGCTGCTGATGGAGTGTTATCACGGAGGCCTTTTATTTATTTTATCGTCAAGGCTGTTCGATGAGTCAGGACGTCGCTCAGACTGCATGTCTTTTCCACTCAGGAAGCTTTTACCGCACCTGAATCACACCGATTTACAATGAAAACATGTTTTCTTTCATTTGCCGTCCATGTTTTTTCTGCTGTTTGGGGAAGACGGTGACTGTGGAAAGTGAGTTTTTGCTGAATTGCAGGTTTAACTTACAGGTATGAGGAAGTACGCACCGTGTTTTTAGAAGCGAGTTAAAAGATGAGTTCAAGTTTTCATCTAAAAATGGATTATAGTTAAGTTTAGCTTTATTCATATTGTGTCAGATCGTCACATAAATCATCTCAGGGCTCTTTACATGAACCCTTTCAGACATGGAATATGCAACATTGCCGCTTCATCCATTCATTAAAGTGACAGCATTTTGTCATTTAAGACCGAGGTCACTTTAATTTTAATTTTCCTCACGGCTTCATTCAGACAAACCAAAAGAGAGACGCAGATCTCAACTGATGTTTGTCATTGACGTTAGACAATAACACCAAAATGATTTATAATGCGTAATGATGCAATAACAAACAAAACATCTAAACCAATAGCAGCTTATCAAACTGTCCAGATACGTAAGTTTATTAAAAACAAACAAACAGGGCGCCCGGATAGCTCGATTCCAGCCAGTGGCTCATTTGCTGCATGTCATTCCCCCGCTCTCCTCCCCACGTTTCTTTGTCTGTCTTCACTATCAACTATCATTAAAGTCGGAAAAGCCCAAAACATATCTTTAAAAACAAACAAACAAAGAAACTAAAAATTGTGAAATTCTTGCAGGATGATATGGTACCTAAAGTTGGGATTGAAAGATCATCAGTCTTCCTGATTGTTGTGTCCGATATTTGGTATTTTTATTAACTGATTATTGATAAATTAAGTCTTCTCTCTCTGTCTGTCATCACTCTGGTGTCTCAGAAACATCTCTCAAGCAGAAACTAAAAAAACTGACCAAGAAATACCACAAACCAGGAAATTAGCTCCTCTCACAGTGGTTAATGCTATGCTAACGACTAGCGGCTAAGTTAGAAGGCAGCTACAGATTACCCTGAAACAGTCTGGACAACAACAATTAATGATAATTCTTTAAGATCTGGACCTTTATAGGCAACAAAAGTGATAAAACAGTGAAAGCTTAGGAAAATAGAGAAGAACAGCAGGAGACAAACTGATCAATCTCAGTCAGTCCCACATAAACAGATAAAATAATCTAATCCCTTCTATTTTTATTTTACATATTCGGTTATAGTCACCCTTGCTAACGAAGAAGCCTAGTTATGAATGACGGGTTCTCTGCTTTCACATGCTGTTAAAACATTACACTTAATGTACTATATCAGCTCCAAATATCAGCTGTTGGCCTTTCCTGGGCACCAGTATTTGCCAGTGGTATTGGCTCTAGGAAACCCATATCGGTCGATCCCGACTAAAAGATCTTTAAGACGAGATGAGGAGGCTTTGGATGTGAGGAGGAGGATTTTAAATTGTATTCTGGATTTCATACGGAGCCAGTGAGGAGAAGCTAACACGGTAGAAACATGATCTCTCCTGTTAGTTCCTGTCAGGACTCTAACTGCAGCACTTTGGATCAGCTGGAGACAGATTCAGTCCATTAGAGTGAGAATCATGACGGCAGTTTTCCTGGAAGTCACTCGTATGCAACTGAACGTTTCAGCTGCTGTAACACTTGAGAAGTAGTTCGACTTGCAGCACGACAAAAAAGGGGAGTTTCTATACAAGATCTAGTTTTGTTTATATTGAATGTGTAAATGTTCAAGCTTGTTTTTCACAGACCTCCTCAGTTCGTGCACATCCTTCTCCGCTTCTTCTGCTCTTTCTGCATGAACAGGAAACTATGTGCTGAAGCTATTAGCCAATTAACCAATTAAAGGTCCAGTTTTATAGGATTTAGGGGGATCCATTGGCAAAAATGGAATATTGTATTGATACAAATGTTTTTCTCAGTGTATAAGCACTTGAAAATGAGATTTATTTAGTTTTCATTGCCTTAGAATCAACTTTTTTTATATCTACAGAGTCCTCTTCCACAAAGTCTACAAAGGTTTTGTTCCACAGTAGTCCAGAATTTACCATTTTGAACAGGAATGAGGAATTTTCAAACTGAATTCACCTTTTTGTACCCAGATTTGAGCCACTGGGCTTCTCTGAGGAGTCAGAAATGAATCAAGCACAACGTTCAACCACTAAAACTAATTATTCTGCTCAGGAATGCAAGTAAATGACCATAATTTGACATCTTAATCGAGACATGATAATGTGCTCAGTTTTTTTTTTTTTGTAGAACAGTAAATTTGAAAATTCATGAATAACTATAGTAATTATATTTTAGCAAGAAAAATATAATTTTGGTTAAAGAGCTTCTACATTCTGGTGTATTAACCATTACAGAAACATTAGATATGATGCTGGTGCTTATTTGGGGTGGTGGTCTGATGAATGTGTTAAGAAATGTATTTCTGATGTGAAAGTTAATGAGCGTTTTTTTAATTTAGGTAAATTCAAACATTTTTCTCTGGGATTTTACTGTTAACTATCTGTAATTTAACAAATCAGGGAAAAATTGTTAAAATAACAGTTATAGAAATCCCAGCACTTAATTTTACTAGTTGGTATCTGTAATGTAGCCAAATGGGAAAAATCTGTAAATTAAAAATAAATTATTTACTATCTTATAATTTTTGACATACAGAATTGTGTTTTTCAATAAATATCTGTATAATAATTAGTTTTTTTTGGCTGATTTTAATACAGTAAAAACAGTGTAACTAATCAAACATAAAAGACTTTTAATTTAAAATAATTTTTAAGATGTTTGATTAGGACTTTAATGACAGTATTTAATGGTTTATTAGTAAATTAAAACTTTTTTTCTCCTGTGATTTCACTATTTACTATCTGCAATTTAACAAAACAACGACAATCTGTAAAATAACAGGAAGTTATGCAACAAATGACAGTTTTAAACTGTTAAAACACGTCATGTTTTTACAGTGTTCTTTGTCTCAGCCTTTATCACAGCGAACTGTTGCTCACATGTCACAGCATCATGTGGTTTAAGGTTTTAAACCCCTAAAGGTCTCCTCATCAGTCTGGTTTTTCATAAATTAAATATTTGCACAAGTAGTGATTGTTCCGTGGATTAAGGAGAACCAGGAGTCCTCCTCCTCCTCCTCCTCTCCTCTCCCCACCATTACCTCATCCCTCCCCGTCCTACCGCATCCCTCCGTCCTCGCGCCTCCTCCCGGTGACGCCACACCGGAGGAGGATGAGGAGCTCCAGCATCAGCAGCACCGACATCCTCCGGCTGCAGGAGCCGCCGCTTCCTCTTCCTCCTCCTCCTCCTCCTCCTCCTCCTCCCGCGACCCGCCGCTATTTCGGACGTTTCTAATAATATTTTACGCAGAGGGAACATGGCTTCCTCCGCCTCGCTGCTCCACACCGGACGGTAACGGGGAAATCTACCGGGACAAGCCAGCAACGAGGCACCGCTGGAAGCATCACTTTGATCGATTATTGTTGAACACCTTGGAGGAGCGCTTTGGAGCAGCAGCTGATCGTCCGCATTCAAAGGAAGGATTTTACCCGCGGAGCCGAGCGATGAGGTGATCGAAGCGGGCGGAACGCGCTGATTGTCCGGGATGAGGCAGGAGAGGCTCCCCGCCGCCGGCAGGAGGCCGAGGGCGGGCGTGAAGCAGCGGCAGCAGGGCTCGGGAGGGGTCGGCAACATCATCAGCAACGTCCTGAAGAAGCGGAACGGCATCTCCAGGAGCGCGCCGAGGCTGCTCTGCACCTTAGAGCCAGGTGACCCAGTCCTGTCCGGATCAGAACCTCAGGGGCTGATCGGTGGGAGGAAAATCAATATATGATTTAAACAATAGCTGCAGTCCAGCCTTTATTTAAACACTGAGCTATGGAGCCCTCATTCACAATGTACACTGTAAAAAATGAGCGATTTAACTGTAATTTTATGACCTACTCACTGTTATTTCACAGATTGTTAAATTAAAGACAATAGCTGGTAAAATCTGAGAAGAAAATTTAAATTTACAACCATAAACATAAAATAGACCAAAGCTGTAACATTTTTAAAGGGTGTTCTGCAGGTTTTCGCTTTGTCCTTTTGTGAAAATGACAAATAATATCTAGTGTAAGTCACATTTTTTAAAAATAATAATTCACATGTTGACTTTTAACCCTGTAAAGCTTAAATCATGAAATAATTACCATAAAATGATTTAAAGAAAAACCAAAAAACTGGAGTATTGATTAAAGCTTCTGACATATAAAAAAAATAAAATAAATGTCTGTCAATTTGCATATATGAGTTTTAATTTGTATCAGTTTTGCTACCTGTAACATTTCTAGTCCATGAATTACAGTCTATGGTGGATTATCTGAGCTCCGCATGTGTCTGATTGTACACATCAGGGTTTTCATGAAAAAGAAAATCACATCTCAAAAACTCATTTAAAAAATCTGTATTTTACAAACGATAGATTGTTCTTCTACAATATCGAATCAACAGAAAATATTGTTCTTTTACAGTTATTTGCCTTTATTTGAAAGGATAATTATGTACACTGTTGAAAAAAAAAAAAAAAAAACCTGTTCAGCAAAGATGTCAGACAAAGACGTGTTAAACAGTAGAAACCTGTAAAATGTGTTAAAATGACAGCAAATATTTGTAAAATTATAATCTTAATTGTGATAAAAACAATCTAATTTATTTTCATTAATTATAGATAAAAAAAACAAATAATATTTTTAAAAAATAAAGGTTTTTAATTTTGGACTTTTTTCCCAGCCACATGTGACTGTATTTAAATTGTCAAAAAGAAAAGGGGGGGAAAAAAATCAGAAATCGCATAAATATGTTTTTATGTTTGGTCCTGACTTGCTGATAGGACACAGATTAGAAATTTGATTTTTTAACCAACAACATTAATTTCATTTTGATTTGGCCAAAAATTAAAGTGTTTTCCTGCATTATGGGACAGAGTCAGACCTGAATGCACTTCAATACAACATCAGGTTTAAATATGTGACGTTTAACAGCTTTAATGTGCATATTTCAGTTAGGAATAAGCGGCTGCATTGATTGATACAGTAAATATATTAGCACACGTTTGCTAGTTTTCTACCAGCATTCCTGTCTGGCATCATAGCAGCACTTTTTACCGTCTGACGTTTTTATGTTTGTTTTTGCTGTCCTTTATAACAACCTGTTGACTGAAGTAGGCCGGACATGATGGATTCATTTTGTGTGGAAGAAGAGTCACACGATGAGTTAAACGCCTCCTTTTATGTGAACAAACAGACTGTGAAGCAGATAGTCTGAGTTAAGAAAGAAAACTGACGGGGGTTTTAGTTTTTGTCACGCCGACTTACACAAAGAAAGCCCGGCTATGTCAAACTCGCTTTGCAGTTCAGCCCTCTGGAAGTCTGAATATGTGTTTTTAATTATTTAGTTTCAAGGTGGAAATACTTGGCTGTGGCGTTGAATGCTTGTTTTGCTCCTGATGCGTCTTCTGGCGTACAAAAAGCACCATATAAGCTGTTTTCTTTTAAACCTGAACTCTGGATTAACTAAACCTGAGTTTTCCCTTATAGAACAGGGGATAACAGTTGGTTCATTCAACTCTAGATGAAGTTAATCCTGAGTAACCCTGTGCATGAGGAGATAAAAGGTTCTAAACAATGAAACACAGATATCATGACTGGCAACTAGAATAACAAAGACTTGATCCTCCTATTTCGCTCCAGTGGAGTTAATGCAAGCTATGCAGGATATTATAGTGTATAACCTATTTAAGAACAATAAAAAACATCACTGTAGTTATGTCTCTGAAAATTCCATTTATTAAGCATTTATACTAATATATACTATAAAAAATATAGTTTAGCATCTTTAGAAGTGTCATTTTTTAAACTGTTGTCATATAGATTTAGAGAGTAATTAGTAAAATCATTCTAAAAGGTAATGGTTTATATATTGTGCATAAAAACAAAAGTGAAGTCATGTTTGAAAACTGATCCCTGCTCAGTAATCAGGTCAGTGTGATGACTGATAAGATGTAACCTGAACATCCGGTATCATTTGGATTTGGTTCTGAACTCGCTGGAGCTCTGAGGGATGATTCAATCTGTTGAAAATGAGCTCATCTGACACTTAAAGGAAACGGATTGTTGCTGTGACAGGACGCCTTTCTGAAAGTGTTTGTAATGTGGCAAAAGAAAGTAGGTTTAAATCAGGTCAGTTAAGTTGTTTTTGGTTCTGCAGTAAAGACATAAACACTGTAGATAAGCAGGGCTCTTTAAACGGTGAATAAAGTGAATATTTCATTATCAAGACAGCAAATTCTGCAACCACATGATGGTCAAACTGCCTCCTATAATCCAGTAATGTAGCATATAGCACATAGTTGTGATGCATTTATCCTGCTGTGGTGCAACCCTGTCTCCATATAGATCATTTTAGTTTTTATTTTTTAAACTGTTTTACCCTCTTACATTACTTCATGACTGTCTATTAAGGTGGACCCTGACTAAACTTGCTCAAATGACTGGATTAAAGTTGCCCAGCCTGTAAAAATCCACTTTTATTCTTCTGTGCAACTTCAAAACAACCTGCAAAACAATCTAAAGATGGACTTAATTTTCCATCATTTTCTCTTCAGTTCTTCTTTCTTCACTCCTTTCCTTCCTCCTTCTCTCTCTGACCGGCTTTATTTCCATGACTTTCTCTGGACAAGTGGCTCCAGTGAGGTCTGTGGACGCGGTTAGCTGTGAGGGATAATCTGAACAGGGAAGTAGGAGGGTTTTCCGCCTTAATCCTCCCCGGAGCTGCGACAGGAGACCGCGGGACAAAACGCAGGGATGGCGGAGGGCGAAGCGACGGAGGAGGACCGAGCAGGTTAACCGCTGTTCTACTTCATGTCCGGAGAAAAAAATCCGACTTGTAGAGTTTTATATGGAACCGGCGGGTGTCGCAGAGAGACCGGGCGGCCCTCCGGAGGCTCAGCTGCCCGGGAGGAGAAATGGCCGCAGCCGGAGCTTTTGGCGCACAGCCGAGACATGTCAGGACCTCCCCGCTTAGCTCGAGATCAGGATTTCATTTGCCCCCCTCGGAGGGTTTTAGCCCACTGCTCCACATGTCCTCTGGAGGAGTCTGTGGAGGCGCACAGAGCTTTTAGAGGAGCGCAGGTTGAGACGCGGATTCAGCACCACGGGGAGGCGGACAGCGACCGAGCTGCTGCTCCAGACTCAGATCCAACAAACCTGCAGCTTTAAGTCAAGTTTTTATTCTCATAGAGTCACACAAAGGTGGTGACACTTAATAATAAGGCCACACGTTATGGTATTAAGTAATAATTAACTGAAGCAGGACCAGTGGTGGAGACACTCAGTGCTTCTGTCGTTTTCCTGTTTGCTTTTGCACACTGTAAAAAATGAACGTTTTT